CCAGCTAATTAGAGTACCCGGTGCCCACCTTACACACAAAGCATGCTCAATCCCCATTTCCTCTCCCCATTGTCATACGTTTCATTTTGTCTGCTTCATTACACAGACATTGTACTAGATGGATTGAGTCTGTGGGGCATTCTGTAATATTTCTGATATACTTATAATAGTCATGATGTGGATGAGAGGGCAGGGTGGTTAAGGGAATATTGCAGTTTTAGATTGAGAGGTTTCTTGTGTAATTTTGTTACGAAAGAATTCTTTGGTTTTGAAAGAGAAGAGATACCAGGTGGATACAAAGCATGATGTCCAACAAGATAATTGCAATAGCCAACAGGGGTAATGTGCAAGACAAAATTAAATGTCCAAATGGGAAAAATTCATTTAAGATTATAAGGTCTATTAGAATGCTCTTGTATGTTTCTTGGTGTATACAAATATTAAAAGATCGTGACAGAAGGGAAAAAATACGAGTTGTATACCTCCACGAGATGATAAGAAAGTGGCATTGTGTGACAAATGTATGAATTGCATGTGAATCTTTGGAAAGAATTTCTTTTAGAAAAGTTCATGAAGTAGCACCTTAAACATAATCTTGGAACTTGGTGGAGGTTTAGCATTCTCAGGTTAAATGCGCTGGGCCCTCACCCAGGGCAGTGTGCTAGGCTGGAAATGGGGAACATTTTTTTCAGCTTAAAATGATTTAAGGAACAAGAACGTCAAATTCTATGCAGCTGCATGCAGTAATAATACTAAATGGTAAATGATAATAGTGATGTTTTATTGCCTCAGTTGGAGAGTAAGTGGAGTAAGGTGGCACTTTTCACAAAATTCTCATGTCACTTAAGAACTTTTTTTGTGACCCAAGGAACTTTTTGTGACCTTTGCTTTTTCCCATGAAATAATTTAAATGGTAAAATAAATCTTGCAAGGGAAAAGGAAAAAAAAAACAGAAAAAGGAAAATAATCCTGCTTTGAGCAAGGAGGTTTGTGAGTGTGAGCCCAAAGCATCCATCTGTATAATCCATATGCAAAGGTGCAGCATTATTTTATGAACACACAGGAAGTACTCATAATGGTCTGAATGGAAATTCCTTAATCGCTTAAACAATGCGTGGCTTGTTTGAAAAAATGGTCACTCCATATTCCAAGATTTGTCAGTTAAGGTGGGCAATCCTATTTGTAATCTGAATTAGAAAAAAATAAAAGGCTTAAGTTAGTTATATTAAAATGTTTATCAGTGAAAAAAATACACTATCCTGGTGGCTGGAATTAATATTGCTAAGAGCCTTCTGCATAGTATATCAAGCCTCTCATGTGATCTAAGGCTGCAAAGCAATTTGAACTACATGGATGGGTCGTCTGCAGTATGCAGTACAAATTTCAGGCATCTTGCCTCTGTACACCTACACATGTTCTGTTGTTGCTGTGGAAGGGCTTAGGTGCTGTAGTGATTTACCTGATGCAATAACTGTTTTGACAATTTGCATTTGAAAAGACTTAGCATAGCCAGTCAAATGTTTTTGATGGAATTTTTCTAAAAAATATAAGGAGAAAAATCACATAATGGATTCTTGACATGGACTGACGACTCACCATTGAGAACCAATTTATATTCTACAATATTTTTTCAACGCAAAGCTTGATTTACAACAGAGGTAAATTTGCTTTTCTTGTAGAAAACTTGGAATATTTTGTATCCCTTTAGTAAGTTTTCACATTTTCCCCAACATTTTCCAATAACATTAATTGACTACTGCAGGTTACCATGGTAGTCATCATAGCATAACATCACTCTCAGGATATGCTTCTAGGTTCTGTATAAATTACAGTTAAAGAAGACTGAAATAATTCAACTGTAGGTCTGTAGCATCTTTGGCCGTTGGTCAAACTGTAAAATTTATTCACTGTGAAAAGTACCTTGTGGATATTGTGGATTTTTGCACCTCGGTCTCTGGCCCTAACGCAACTTCACTGATTATGTAGCTTATCTGTCTCCACAGGAAGTTGTTAGCATGTCTAGCTGGCTGCATCTAGTCATTAGGTGTGCTTGGCAGCACACATTCATAAAAAGAGATCTAACTGTTCTAGAGAGAGATTATGCTGGTACATAAAATTGGAAGTCGTAAAAATATGATGGATAAATGCTTGTGAAACAATGGCGGTTTAACTTCCTATCAGTTTTTATTTCATGTTCTAAAATTTAAACCTCGAACAGTTCATCAAGTTGATATGGATAAATAAGTCACAGTTATGTCTGTTTTTCAAGAATTTTAATTTTTCAAGATATTTCAAGCCTAGCATTTCAGTTCTGAGATAGGAAGAGAAGAGAGGCAAAGGTTTCACCTGTCTCCTAAGCTCCACCAGTTAAAGATGGGTCTATATGGCAGCAGAGGAAGGAGTGATGAACAAGATCAGATAAAACAAGACAACTGGATGAATTATGGCAGGGATAAATTTAGATATGGTACAGTTATCAATGTCCACATCTGAGTGCAGCTAATGCAAGTTTATTTTCAACCTCTCCCAAGTTGGGTTAAAAAAAATAACTTAAAAGAAAAATAAGAAAATTCAAGTGAAATTGAGGGTTCACTAGTGACATCATTTTGTGGACATAACCTGGGACAGTGTAATCTTAAAAGCCACATTAAACTTAATTTAGAGACCTATTTACTATCCATTTTGTGTCATCTCTGCTTATACAGTAATTGGTGGTGTTCTGAAATAATGAAATAATTTAAGAGCCTGAACAGTAACTGGTTGTGTATATATAAGGTGTATGAGTTAAAAGCCAACCTTTTCTAACCTGTCCCCCGTTTTTGCACAGAAACTTGATCTGCAAAGAGTAGTGATAAAAAAGAAGGGAAAATGTAGACATGAGAGCCACGGAGCAGAGGTGTATATGGTCTGTGGGAAATGCAAATCACTCTGCTAGTGGTGAGACCTAAAGAAAGGCTACTCACTCAGTCATTATAATGCCTTTGTTAACCCAGTTGCCCAAGCTCTGTTGTGGGTGTTTGTATTGATGCACATAAAAACCATTGAGGGACAAGTAATTATTAATGTTATACACCATATTGATTCTTCAGCGCCTGGTTTGGCTGGCATGAATCAGCCGATTGGAAGGAATAATGTCTGTGACCGAATGCTATGGAAGTGTTGTATAAGCAGGAAATAGTGTGGGAAGAAAGATGAAGTGACGGAAAAAGGAAACAAGAAATATTGAAAATAGAAATGTTGCGGTTTTTGTATGATTTCTGTATCCTGTTAGTGTAGAGTTTCCAGCTTCTTGAGGATAGGAAGTGGTGGCTATTAAGCACTTACTTGTGGGTTCTGCACAGTTTCCATCATCTGTAAAAGTAGACATATTTTTTTTTCTTGAATGATGTTTGATGCATGTTGTTTCAATTCTCATAAAGATGAATGGTGGCCACTTCCTCACATACTCACCAGTACTTCCATTTTGTACCACCTGATGCTGGCAGTTGGCATATATGGCGTGACTCTTTTCTTGGAAAAAAAGTAGGAATTTACAGTTGCCATAACATGCAGCTCAGCTTAGTACTGAAATAAATGGTCTGCATCATTCTTGCCCAGTGTGTGTCTCTCCCCTTTGATGCAGAGATGCTGGCTATGCATGGCATTTGGCAAAGGTAGAAAGGACGAGTTTGTATATTTTGATTGAGGTTCCGTATAAATAATTAGTACTGTCTATTTCGGTGAACTACCCTCAGGTACTCAGCTATGAGTGTTTGTTCATAAGGTGGTAATGCTTGTCAGTCTGGTGTAATGTTATCTATCTAGAAAAAAAAATGGTGTTGAGAGAGATATCACGAACATATTTTTTTTATCTCGGAAGAAGGAAGCAAATGTAGTATAGCTAGGATCTTTTCAAAAGTGAAACAGAAAATATGATAAAGAATTAGGATGTAGGAGGAAGACATCACTTAAACATCAGGCGCACTGCGATGTTTTAAATTGCCGTCAAGATGGCTAGGAGAGTTACGAAGATTGTGCCCTCTGACATGACCCCTAGTTCCGACATATGTGTCTGCACACTCTGGGACCCCTACATTATCATCCTTGACTGGGTTTGTTATTATTTCAGCTAGATTGACATTTTGGCTCCACCCCACCAATGGGTTGATAGTGATCAGTTCTGACAGCCAGTCAAGACATGGCACTGGATATTACTGATGAGATAGCAGTCTGTATTAATGCATTGGATACTGGGTGAGGGGAACATCCAATCCCTTCACAAGGAAATGTTGTCTGGGGAGAAAATTGTGGTATTAATGAAAAAGTAGTCTTAGAATGATTTCAAATTGCTTTTAATGAAAAAATGTCTGAAACAAGAATCATGTTGATTGTGATATTTGCATATTGAAATGTCTTATGAAGGTGTAAGTTAAGATGGGAGGGGGGGGGGCTGAAGTGGCATAATTGGCCCTATCATATCTCTAGGGAGAGAGATGTCCTTGCTGGGGTGGAGTGATTGATGAGGGGATGTAGATATGAAATTAGGGTCTTCATACCCCCTTCCTGTCTTTTGTCATATTAACCTCCTTAATTACCAACCTAATTTGACAGAATTCCAAGAAGTCCCGACAATTATGGGTATTCACATGTAATTAAAGGTAATCATAGTAGTAGTAAAACCTGTTGGATGGTGAGCTTCTTCATCTGCTATGTTTTATAGTAGTCTTTTAAAAGTCAGTTCATCACCAGCCATGCAGAACACTAACGTAGCAAATAATAACTGGACGCAGGCCTTTAATTTGTTGTGAACAGCCATTAAACACTTTTTGTGTGCATTCGTTTAGCTATGCATCACGTCTGCCCACGATGGCATACAAACACTGTGATATGCATACCAAGAGGCCATGGTTAAATAGTATGGATTTTCTCTTGCTACCAACCATTCATCTGGTAGTTTTCATAACAGGAAGGTCTCATGCATATACATACATGTACAGTTCTAGTAATTACTTAAAGTTTCAAGTATGTTTTTTCCCAAAAAATATTTTAGTATGTTCTTTTTTCACATAAAATTTCAGTAACACAAACATTTTCCTGAAGGGAAATGTAACTGAACTTCCTTCTTAATAATTTGGAAAACTCTTTGTTTATACATTGCCACCAGAATACTGGTTAGAAGTACCATTCATCAATTTCTTTCAAAGATAATAATTACCAGTAACCACCTGTGTATCCAGTCCATTCATTCATTAATAAGTTGTAAATCTGACACTGTGGATAATTGAGGTTTCAGTGACAGGGATACTCTGTGGGGACCAGGCAACTTGAAGAGCCTCTTATTGTGATTGGAATACATGTTATGAAACAGATTTTGGTTTCTAAGAACCCTGATGTTATTAGTGGTTACTACAGCATGTGTAGTGTGTTTGAGTGGAACATATGACATTATGAAGCAGATTTGGGTTTCCAAGCACTGGTTTGTAATAAGTGCTGGATATTGTACTTAGAATGCAGAGTTGAAATCAGCTTGGAAAAATTAGAAAATTCACGGAGAAGTTTATTGTTTTATGGGCCTAAACTGATATTTTAGAATTAAAACGACAGGTGTCGAAAATTAAAAGTTTCTTATGGTGCAAAATCAAGATAGTTGGGGGAAAAACTTATCTTCTGAATAAGGAATCAACCAGTTCAGGCTAGCTGACTTTGCTTTGAAATTCCTTTTTAATTTGATTTAGAATCCTTGTCATCTTATTCAGCATTCAGATCATGTCTTCAGTTACTGTGTCCAATAGCAAGGGTTATTGGAGGGGTTGTGTGAAAGAACTCCACCTCAGATAAGGGAAAACTGAGCCCTTTCTTCCCTGTAGTATTTGATCAGTGTTTGCATGGGCACCTGTGAATCAACACTGAGGCAGGGGCATGGGGATAGGGTTGTCTTCTTCTTAAATACTCTAGTTCCTGGCTTGTTGGGGTAGTGTCTTTCCCATGGGGCAAGGATGGCAGGAGGAAAAACACAGTGGTTGTCTCCTGAAGAAAAGGAGAATAATACGCTTGGATAATTTTTCATCCTGTGAATGGGGCATTCTTTGGCATGTTTCTGTCTCTTGTTACCTATGCATGAACAGGTGAGGGGTAAAAATGCCATGAGATTGTGGAACTTATGAATTTGGCTCACCTGTTGTGTGAAAGCTTAAATTTTCCTTTTCTCTTTGCCAAGATTCCACTTACCGAATGTTTGATTTGTGTAACTGTCAGCCAGCGCTCTGCATTGGAAGATTTGTATATTATGATTATTATTATAAAGGAGAGCGGAGGAGTGGGGTAATTTTATCCATTATTCAATATGGTGTAGTGTTTTACTGGGTCAGCAGTCCATTCAATCGACTTCCATTCACAGTCATACAGACTTGACATGTTTTGGAAAGAAATGTCACCCCTCATGTCATAACTTTCACGTTTCATTTTCATTCAGCTTTATAGGGCTATCCAAGCAGAAAGGCCATTATGTCTACTGCAGCAGTGAGGGGAACTTTCAATCCCCATTGCTGTGCAGTGTGCATGTCTGACCAAGAAGAATAGCAGCTGAGGAGAGGCATTGGATGCACAATTAAATTAGTGACTGGAAAGTTAGGAAGGCACATAACAAGTAGCACTTTAGGGGGCAATATGTCACACTAGTATGGGAAACTGCAGACCCATTTTTCACTTCCCTGAGAATATGTCCCAAGTATGGCTTGTACTATTTCATTCACTTCATGAATCAGATTAATTGTAAACAGCTATGTTTCAATGTAAGAACCATGTGTTATGCTTTTTCCACCTGATAAATATATTTTTCATACAGAAATTGTTTGTAGAACTAGGAAGTCTAATTCAAATTACTGGTAGGATTTTGGTTAGGGTGGGGATGAGGAAGAAGGAGGGGGAAGCAAGGTAGAAAATGAAAACAGTTGGTCAGATCTCAAAAGAAAGCAAAGCACAGCAAAATAACCATTTAAAACCTCATCCATTATCAAAATGACAAAGATGATGAAAATAATATGGGAGGTTTCACCCATTGAAAACTGGGGTAGTGATGGAGGTGACACACCCAAGGTTAACTGACTTTACAGATTACAGTGTAGTTGTCTGCTCACTCGGTTTACAGCAAATTAGGAATCAAGTTTATTTGGATATGGTTCCTTTAATTGCAGAAAAATATTTTTCTTAACAGAATTGACAGCTGGTTGAAAAAGCCCATCAAATAAGTAATTTGATGCTTGTCAGTTTTGTTGAGACCGTTGGATCAGCATTGAGTGAAATTGAGCCTCTTCGTGGCAGGCTTGATCTAAGTGGCAGAGGTAGTGTTGTCCAACATGTGGCAGTAGAGGCTCAAAAGTATCTCAAGGACATGAACACAACTGGAGAGAGAAAGGAAGAGGGATTGAGTGGCTATGGCCCTATAAACGTGACCTGACAGTTAATTTTGCCAAAGGGGTAGACCGTTGTTGGCTGCTTCACTAAAGATTGAGGTGATTCTTCCTCACAGCACATGGCCTTTCTCTCTACCCCTGACCCCTGTTGAAATCTACTCCACCGAATTGTTTATTCAAGACTAATGTGAACATATAACACGTAAAAGGCTCATTCAGTGCTTTACAAACTTAATAGTTTTTATTTTTCCACACTCTGAATATCACCAACACCGTCTTAGTCTTGAAGGTATTTGGGTTTATTGTACAGTGAAAGCATCCCCTCCTCCCAAATAATTGTTTAAGAAATCGAACAATCACTCCAATTTGGATTATTTTGTTAAAACAACAGTTAGTTTTTCACAGGTCAACACCTTCATTTAATTGAAACTTGTGTCTGTGTATTAACTAAACCATGACAGGATCTAGTAGCAGAGTGGAGTGTGTAAGGCACGTTTTCGATACCGAGGAATTATCCATGCGAAAATGCCCCGTGGTCCTTATCCATGGTTGTTTTCCCCCCACCTTGCGGTTTGGGCATGTTAAACTAACATAAGTACAGTTGTTGACTCAGTGAATCATAGTGACTGCTTGTCAATCACGGTGTGCCCTAGATCCTACCCCTTAATCGTGTTGATCCCCGAGCTTAATAACTGCGCTTGGCTTGTACGTAACTAGAGATATGCTGAAGTGCTCACACGTGGGGCAAAGAAATGATTAAACATGGTGCTGAGAGCATAGAACCTCCTCGCATCAGGAACTACTCAGGAGAGATGGGGTTTTCAGGTCGCAAGTTGACTTTAATGTTCAGTTTTGAATCCTTTCTCATTCTGGAAGTTTACCAACTCTCCAATCTTCCAGTAAATCAAAGTTCAGTGTGATTTTTGATCTCATAATTGGCAGTCACACTCAATAAACTACAAGCTTGCAGCTGGAAAGTTGGAACACAACACGTTTGGCGGCACATCAAGTTGAAGTTAAATGGCAACATGATAACAGATATATTAATTTTGCTTGGTTAACGTGTGACATACTTTCTAAATGGACTCTGAAAGTGTAATGAATTTAATTATGAATCCTTTTTATTCAAAACTGAGCTCTTGAATCACCTTGTTAAACTGTTTCAGTTTTCTATATCTCAGAAACAAAACAAGACTTCCACTTTTATGTTAACTTTCTTTTTGGTCCTAAATGTTAGTGTTGCAAGCACATTAGTCACTGTTTCGATTATTTTGCCTGTGGTCGGTGGTTTTCTTTTGTTTATGCCCCCTGACACACCATGCAGAATGACTTGTAAAACAAACTTTAATCAACATCGAAAAATGCTTTGTGTAGTATAGTGGCAAAGACCTTAAAGGTTTACGTACCATTTTACAACAAGAAGTCAAGAGCTTTATACAAAGACTTGAACTTAAGACCCCCGGTTTATACACTGTGACAATACAGAAGAAAAGACTCCATTGACAGGTTGTGCATTGGTGTAGAGAGATTTTGGGCTGTGATAGCTCAAGAAAGATCTTGCCATAAGATGGAGGCGGTTCATGATTGAAGTTGTAAAGTTTTCTTCAACGACTATGCGCTCTTGCTCTCTTACTTGCACGCACACATGCACATGGATAACAGAATCTGTATTAGTGCTCATTCATACAGATAGTTAGAAGATGAGGTTTCAAGCCCGATCCACCTGCTGGGTCATCTGAATAATACAACACAATGCTTCCTACTCGGCACTGGGAGAGACTTCCTGAAGGGGAATAGGGAAAGGGGAGGGGGCAAGCTTATATCACATTTTATGCAGGATTATCCTTTCAAATGAAAAAAAAATGAGATCCATGAATGCCATATATGGGTGGGTGTAAACTGTTTTGAAACGGGATTAAAAAGTTTTGAAGTACAGCCAAATTTAAACGCCAGTAACATTCACTGATCTGAAAGAAATTACATTTCACACACCGGTTGTATTACAAGCAATACTTGCTCAACATACAACTTGAATTGGTTCATTTGTTTGGTTTTTGCAAGACTTCTGCATCTGTCATGATGTTCTCTATAGCTCACACTAGTTTTTCACCTGTTTTCTGTTGCCAAGACAAAAATCACCAGTTTTACGCACACACACACACACACAAAAAAAAAAAAAAGGAAAGGAAAGTGAAAGAAAAAAGCAAGAAAGAAAAGGAAGTAAAAAAACAAACAAATGAAAAAAAACCCCTGGGTCTATGCTAGCGTAGATCATTTTTGCCAGGTGCTTCATTTAAAACAATGAATATGTGACTTTGAATTATGAATGACTTTTTCCATATGCTGTCTTGTCATTCACCCTTCTTGCCATCCTTTAACTTTGGGAATTGATGAATATCATATATAAGCTGCTTGCAAATCTCTTTTCTTTCTACATCAATAACTTTGTATAACATGACATTGATCATATGCCTCAGAAGCCATCTTCACAGAAAACTGACAATTGCAAGCTTTGAGCCCTAAAAGCTGCCCTACTTTTCTTTGAAAGTTGACCAAATGGCAAATTGTCCCACTTCCAGATTTGCTCTGTGACTTCACTATTAACTGGACAGACTTTTCAATTCGGGAGGCAGCATGAAAGGAAATTGATTTTCCACCATCCTGAACTGATGAAGAGAGATGAAAGATTTTACAGCTTCAAACAAAATTCCGTCCACTATAGCTGTAAATGTGGACGGAAATCCCAGCCCTTTGATACAACATTGCTCATAAAACACTTTATTATTCTGACATGAAAAAGACCGCATGGGTAACATAATATGATATAGGATTATGGTGGCTAGTTGGCAGGGAAGGAGGACATATTGTCTGAAATTGAATATGACCAGTGAAGCAAGGCAAAAAAGAAAATGTTCACAAAAAATATAAGCAATTTATGCAAAAAAAAAAAAAAAAAAAAAAAAAAAAAAAAAAAAAAAAATATAAGCAATTTATGCAAAAAAAAAAAAAAAAAAAAAAAAAACTGAAAGAGAAAAAAAATTTGAAATACAAAAGATAAAAATAAATGGTCTCAATACAAAAAAAAATTGAAGAAAAAATATATCAAGCGATATTTACGAATGGAGAACTGAAAATGATTCCCACAAAGCAGAGTTTCAACAAAATAAACATTTTCATTGACCAACAAAAAATACTGTTTCTACTAAATCTTGGCAGCTAACTGTTAAAGCAAATAACCACATCACCAACTGGCCTCTCTGAATAGCAGCAGACTGGCAAAAAAAAAA